TAAGCGCTTTTTTCCCTCCTTAGATGTGTACAAGGAACTCATGGTTTTATATGTACCCACCATGAGCAAGTAATGATATCCTCAAGTGCTACATGTCACTGTGGTGTCATTCTTATGGTTGTTGGATTGACAAACTATTATGTTCCAGTAATCCTGAAAGATAACCACATAGAATTGCAGTGAATGAAAATTTCTTTGATTGCAAGAATGGATGAAGATTTAATACGTGCAAGCTCTATGATTTCATTAGGTGTCGAAGGTATAGAAGTGACAAGAAGTAATTTATTTCCAGAGCTCTTAAGGGATGAGGCAGTGACAAGACTAAATGAACTTGGAAGGTATCAAGTTTGACTCCATTATATAATATTGTTGTCACTAAAATATTACCTATGTTGTATCATGAAATCTATGGGGAGATTGGAAACTAAGTGCATTCTTTTCCATTTAATATGGTTAGCAAAACATTATATATATGTGTAGTGTGTGTGTGGTGTGGAGGGAAAGATATAAAGATAGAGAGAGAAGTGGAAATGCAGTCCAAATATGGTAGTGTATAAAACATTAATTTTCCGCTTCACTTGGCATGGCCTACGATGCACACAACCTTCTTTAGGAAATCCAAGAGAGAACCACAGAAAAAACCATTGGATTGAGACACTTCTGGTATGGAAGATTGCTTCCCAGCACTTTACAAAGAGCAGCAATTTACCGAACCAATTTAGAATACTGAAAAAAAAAGAAAAAAAACATCAAACAAAGATCAATAAAATGAACAGTTGAGTTGCTGCCATTGTATTTCAAGGTGGACGTTCCTTCCCGAAGTATTGAAACCCCACATGCCTGCAATCTTGCATCTGATATGGTCTAAAATCTCCTTGGCAATAGTGCATACATCTATGCAGTGGTTTTGTGTACAACATGACATTTCTCTCCAACCAAATATAGTAAACTGTGTATCGAGAGAAAATATCAGTAAAAAAAGCATCCAAAGAGGAACCTTTTGCATTCATCATGGCCCAAAGGACAGTTTCTACTAGGAATATTGTTGCCACTTGATATCACACTTCTTTAGAATAAAATATCATATCACGTAGGTGAAGAATAAGTTGAAGAACAGGTGATCTTGGGACTGTACATGAGATCTATACAAAAAAAAAAAAAAAAGCTAATATGTTGGAGGAGTCCAATTTTAAGCAGCTGGTCTTGAGTTCTTAAATGTCTTATGAATAGCTAACCACAGCATAAAGGAGGCACAACGGATCAATACAGGCTTTGGGTAGTCAAACAAAATGATTCTAATCCACAAAAGTTTAATGTTGTCTTGGCACTTCCACCGCTGTCCTGGTAGAGAAGACCCCAGTTGGGGAGGGATTCCAAGGCAATACATCGTGTTAGACTCATCATGAATCATATGAACTGATCTGTACTGATCAATTCCATCATATAGAGTATAAGGAGTAGGCCTCACCCATTTGTTTGCTTGAATTACACTGCTAACCTTTGGCATTCTAGGAAGGCCAGAGTCATAGATCAAGCACTGTTTAGTTGATGTTTGAAAGGATAAAACCATTGGGAAACCAGAAATCATAACACAAGTAGCACTACCATTCCCTGCTTGTGCCTGAACAATGGCTTGACATCATTCCTAAACCTACAGATTTTCCTCCAAGACGGGAAGCAATATCTGGATATTGTGATATCCCAAAAGCTTCTATCATTTATCAAGTAGGCTCTCCCACAATCAACCAAAGTGGATTCAGTGCGGGGTTGTAGAAGCTTAGTTTTCAATTATTTATTCCAGGGAGTCATTGTCACTCCCCATTTTCATAAACAGGTGTGATCTAATTAATAACCCTTAAAATCATGAGAGCACAACTAATAATATCATTCAATGAGTCAAAACAAAAATATTCAGCATCATCTAATAAAAATTTCAAAATATCCTAAAACAATAATTCAACCATGAAAAAATGTACAACCCAAACACCTCAGCATTATTTAAAAAGGAATTTATATCTAGCTACTTCAATTATGGTAAACCATAGCTTATCCTCAACATCAAACGAAATGCTAAAATAAGTAAAATCCTCCTCCACTAGGCCTCAAAAGTGGATCCACATCCTCATCCACTTGAAAATCCAAATCCACATGCTCACCTATGCTGATACCAACCACAACACCAATATCTAAAAAATGTTAAATTAAGGAGTGAGTACAAAACTTTCTCAAACTTAAACAAGGTTTACAAATATAAGAAAAATAGGTAGGTCTCAATTTTTCAAAATAAAAATAGATAATTTTTGAAGTAATTCATGTGACATGAATAACAATTTTAAGTTTCGATATGTGTAAAGGAATTTCATCATAGAATGGATCATTTAGAAAATAAAAATTTTGTAACAGAAATATCTCAGGTATGTAGGTTGATTAGTAAGAATTCAATCACCGAATATATTTGGTCCACCCCCACAAACACAAACCATTCAATCAATCCTTGCAAGGTCATATTGTTTTAAGAAGCACGTATACTGACGCATCAGTATTTAACAAAATCTTTGCCGGAGTAATATACAAACTCATCCTTGAACCAACGTGCACAAATAGTGATTTGGTACTTCGCAAGGAACCAAACTTTCAAACCCCTCAAGGTAAAAAACACATATAAGCACTTTGAATATATGTTCGAGTGCATTAAATTCAACTAGTCCACCAATATAAAAGATTTAAATTATGTTTTTCACATAGATCGCAAATCTTACAAACCATAGTTTCCACAATTCTTAAAGCAAGAGAAATTTCAATAAAATATGCATAAGATCGCAAAGAGAAATTTTCAAGTAGGCATTATTCAAAAATCTAGAGTTTATGGACTTTAAATGCACATCGGATGTAATTCAGGTATTTTTTCAACAAAACAAATTATACTTTTGCAAGAAATTCAAAACAGTTATAATTCTATAATATGTATATGGATTTGAGACAAACTTTACATACATAATAACCCTAGCCTCAATGAATAGGAATGTGAAAGAAATCCTACCTTGATTTCGTAGAAAATTGATCTTAAAGTGTTTAATGTGATTTCCTATGTGTGGATCTCTTTTTGTTCTAGCCCAATCTGCTCTTCCTCCTCTTCGTTCTCCTCTTTTGGCTCTCTCAATCTCTCATAGACTCCTTAGGGTTGAAGCTCGTGTAAAGAAACCCTAAAACTAATCCCCTAGGGTTTAAATAGTGCCAAAATTAGGTTAATAGTGCAAAACTGATTGTGACTGAGTTTGCATGTGTGTTCGGACACAATTTTTTTCGTCCAGATTCTTGTGACTTTCAGCCCTAAACTTTCAGCTCAAATTTGACCTAGTTGGAGGTCGATTCGCGGAATTTTCTTCAAATACACTTTTGTGGACATTGTAATCTTCTTTCCAATGTAGCAAGAATCAGCTCAATCGAACATAAAAGCAAGAAGTTATAGCCAAAATACTGAAATAGTGTCAAATTCCTTCTTACCTGAATTCTCTCCAAAATGTGTTTTAAGTCTTTGAACGGTTCTAAACTTCTTTTCTTCAACTTCAAGCCTCCAAAACCATCTGAAGTGATTTTGGAACACTTTAGATTCACTTTAAATCACTAATATCTCACTTAATAACCATTCTTAATCTTTTAAAGAATAAAGTATTCGAAACACTAAACTTACCATCTCATCTATCTGGACCACTATACTAGTTGAATGCCTAGTCTAAGGTTTCGCGACCTCTAAGATTCCATTGTAACGTTATTCTATCCTAAATTTTTTTAAAAACCTATCTAGTTACCCTTATCAAGCTTGCATGCCTTTGAAACTAAATTTGACTCAAAAATCAATTTGCGCGAAACTTTATGACGTCCTAAAATCCGATGGTCATTTTTCAACCCGTTAGTCACTCATTAACCTGCGAAAGTACATGTGAGTACTGTATAACCCAATACCACATCGTTACATCCCATTCACCAAGATCATAACCAAAATAGAGTTTGGGCAAAGTCCATTTTGTACTGGAGCACTACCCAACACATATCCTGTATACATATTAACCACAAGACCATTCAAAGGTCCAAACCTTAACAATTAGGTCTTATTATTTTCCATTTACATCATCCAAAGAGGAATGCTTAATAAGTGAAGGTCACTCAGTGTTTTATTTTAAAATTTCAAGTTTTAGGAGGAGGTACCAGAACCCTCAGATATGTGATACCGGTACCTATGGATCTTGGTATCAACCCCCCCCCCCCCCCCAAAAAAAAAATAAATAAATAAATAAATAATGAAAAACATCATTTTGAAAGCAAGAAAGAGAATTTTGAGAAGTTAGAAGATGATAAAAATTGATTTTTGAAAAGAATAATTAAATAAGTGGTGGCTAGTATAGGGGTAGTTATGTAGGCCACATCATAGAATATGATTGGATGAGACATTTCGTTTTAACACAAGCATAATGTTGTGAATTAATCAAAGTGACAGAGAGGGTTTCCTAAGCCCTCACTCCCCACTTGACCAAGATGAGATATCAGCAGCCACCATGGCGGGAGCAAGGGAATGAGAAGAACATGAAGCAATAGTCATGGTTGAATCAACACCACTATAGGATTTTGAGTTGCTCGAGCAAGTACCAAGCGCATGTTGCAGATCAACTTTTGGATTTTCTCACAGGTTGAGTTTTAGTTCTAGGACTACAAAGAGTGCAATCTTAAAGGTCTTGGTGATTGAATTTTCAGGAGCCTATCTACATTTAGTGGGAGAATAGATTGGTGCCCACTATTATAGTTCATAATTATTAATGGAATTAGATTCTATTTATCGAAAATTGATCGTTGAGTATTTTGGTGAGTAGGATGTCATGCGGTCTAACATGCAATTAAGTTGCAATTATCCTATTATATATGCTTTGTCAAAAAATGTTCTCATCTGTATTATAGATCCAAAAGCAGTTTTTTGTGACTGGTAATTCTGCTGTCTGCATTGGCAGGTTAGTGATGCTGATGGCTATCTTGAAAGGACGTTCCTGAGCCCCGGTTCTATCAGAGCAGCAAATCTTATTCGTACATGGATGGAGGATGCTGGTTTGACAACGTGAGCTGCCTATTTATTGCTACTTTATTGTCGTGTTTCAGAAGAAGCTCAACTAGCACTTTTTTTTTTTTTTTTGCAATTAAAAAAAAGGGTTGGGGGCAAAAGAGAGCGCCGAGAGACCACCCCGATTGGCCCTCACTGATGGGATCAACTGACACTATTTTTTATTTCCAGGTGGATGGACCAAATGGGCAATGTGCATGGTCGAACTGAAGGAATGCAAACAAATGGCAAGGCTCTGCTAATGGGTTCTCATTTGGTGAAGCAATCTAATTTTCCACCTTTTTTATGTTAGGTTTTGTTTACCAAATTTCTTGCAGTATTATGAATACAAACTGATAGTTGATTGTGGTGGGTTTTTTACAGGACACAGTCATTGATGCTGGAATTTTTGACGGTTCTCTAGGTATACTTTCTGCCTTATCCGCATTGAAGGTTTTGAACATCACAGGGAGGTTAAAGAAACTAAGGCGCCCGGTTGAGGTCAGAACCCACTTTACCATAGTTATTGCTTCTAGAAAAGTTGGTTGAGTGATTCATTGCAATATTGCGTCATTTATGGATTGCAATTGCCATGTGAGTCAGAAGTGATGTCCAAGTTTTAATTATCCGGGAGTGTACTTTTTAAGTAACTGGGTTGCCTGAGAGTTCAGAAAATTCTACAATTTTATAACTGCACACATGGTGTTAATACCTTGCAAGCAGTTATACTATTCATTTACCTTAGTGAAGTAAATGGATTGCAAAATTTGATGGAATGGAATGATTGGACAGTTAATCATTGTTCACAAACTCACAAACTAATTGACTTAACAACCATCTGCCATGTTGCAGCAGAACCACCTCAAACTTTAATGGAAAAGTATGAACAGTATTTCCCTCGTATTATTATGGCTATTATCAGTGTTATTTGTTGTGGGGTCTTCATTAATTGCTAATTTAAAAGTTGAAAATGGAATCAGTTGCAGTCTTTTCCTAAGTATGAAGATGAATTCTTCTTGTCCTGCTGGCCCTTTGAACCTTGCAGGTGATTGCTTTCAGTGATGAGGAAGGAGTTAGGTTTCAATCTACCTTTCTAGGAAGTGCAGCTATTGCTGGTGTGTTACCTGTATCGGCATTGCACATTCGCGATAAGAGGTTTCCATTAGTAACTCAAAGCTTATATCCATTTTTACCTCTGTCAATTATCGTTACATTTATCCATAAACATTGTTCAGTGGGTTGACAGTCCAACATGTTTTGAAGGAGAATTCTATAGAAACTAATGAGGAAAACTTATTGCGCCTCAAGTATGATCCAGAATCTGTTTGGGGTTACATTGAGGTACCTCAATCTATAATTATAGTATTCGAGTGCATTTACCAAACTAAGAAATTTAGCTGGTAAATTTATGATTAGCGGTATGCTCATTCTGCTCTTATTTTAATTGCATGCTGCAGATTCACATTGAACAGGGACCTGTTCTAGAATCAGCTGGTCTTCCACTTGGTGTGGTGGAAGGCATTGCTGGACAGACTCGACTAAAGGTAGTTATCATTAATGCCGCACAGCTAAAAAAATTCTTCTCATTTGGTGTGGCGTAATCATAGGAAAAGAAGGTTATAGATGCATGAACTCTAGGATAAAAATTCAAATGTAGGACACCTTCTGCTTTGGTTCATTTGTGCTGGAGTGGCTATTAGCTTATAAACTACCTCTTATTTTCCTGTAGTTTTAAGCAGTCGGTTTAGAAAACAATTTCATTTGTGATTCTTATGGCATCACAACCAGCATTTTCAAATTTATCAGTTCCATCATTATTGGATCCATGTATTCTGGTTCATAACCTGATTTGCTATCACATTTGAATATATTTAGTTTTGAGAGAATTTTGGTGATGCCTTATTACGTGCAACTTAGTAGTCTTTGCGGGTGAAGAAGATGATAACCTCCCTGCCTTTGTCACTCAGAGTGGAGACAAGGGTCCAATCAATAGCGGGAACAAGGGTGGGAGTGGGCCTTTGCTTGAAATTTACTCACAGCAAGAGGTCCCATAGAGTGCCTATGAATGTATAATTTTTGTTGGGTTTTATATACATGTATCTATATTTTCCAGCTAATACATTAGGATGCCAATTAAGAAGACAAAAGTGTAATATCACGACCTCAACTAAAATAGAATATAATTAACATAATAAAAATAAATCAATTGAAAAGGAAATCAAAGTCAAGGAGAATGGTGATGACTTAAAATTCAAAAGAGTATCACACTTAAAATCAGGAATCAATAACTACTAATGTCTTTTTATGAATCTAGCTACTTACCTTCTGAAATTCAGTCCACACAAGCGACATAAATGTAAAGGAGATGAGAATGTCAACGCAGTGAGGAGGGAAAATAGTATCAGTCATCTAAAGGTTACTTCAACTTGTAATCCATAATTTCTTCTTCTTCTTCCAACAAAGAAATTCCAATCAAAGAACAATTCAAACAAATTAGACTGGTGTTACATCATGGTATGAAAGCTCAAAATTCAAACAGATAGGTTCTGGAATTACTAGCTGATGATGTCTTTCTATGAATATGCATAAGAAATTTGAAATACCGTAAGGAGGGGAAATGAGGAGAGAAGAGAAACAAAACAGAATTATACATGCAGCCATATCTGAGGTCATAGTATCATCCATATGAGATTTCCTTTTACTCCTAATCCATTATTTCAATCTTAGTTTTCCGGCGAAGAAAATCCCAATTTCGACCCCCAAGAAAGACAAGAACAATTCAAATTAGAGGGATGTGACATCACAATATGAAAGCTCAAAATCCTACAATAAGACAAGGATTTGGGGTGAGAAACAGCATACTGATTCAATCTGTGAACCTGAGTTTATAATTTTCACACTCCATGACACTAATACTGCACATCAATGTATAACCCCCGCTCAAGGAACCAACTCTCGCTAGGTAGATGAATTTTATGGCTTCCATCCTCAGAATAGGAGAGTGAGAGCGACCCTCAGGAATTATTTCCTCAGGACTCTACAAGCTACAAGGTAATAACCTGGTTCGAGTTAGCCTGTTGCACATATCAGGTACAAGGCAAACCTCTTCGGTTTTAATTTATGTTTACACCAGTGACCAATCTGTATCCACCTATGTTTATACGTTCTTTCCTAGTTTTGGCCTAAATAATTTACTCCACACCTTTTGATGTTGATGTAACTCCTTAACTTGTTATGGTCTCCAGATCTTCACATTTGAGCTTCTGGAGGTCTCTTGTGGCCATTTTCCAGTTTCTGTTGAGGTTACTCCATATCCTCTTTTGGCTTCTATTTATTGGGGACGAAGAAGCTTGCACTGTCAAAGCTCTAGTCTTCAACATCGACTCTTATTGTTTGTGACAATCTTTACAATATTGTATTCGATTATCAAACACATTTATTTATACTTTTTGGCCCCAAAAAAATCCTGAATTGCATTTGTGTTAGGACCCTTGAACACATCTCTTAGCTAAAGATCATTACTGGTGATCCCTGCACTGTCTTGATGGGTTCTAGAACCAAGCCTTTGGATGCTGTACACCGCCTTGGGTGCTTCCTTTTTTGCTGACAGCCCGACAGTCTTTTCTGTTTAACCCTGGACTGGTAAAAATATGATTTTCCTCGTCTTGATATGGAAATATGACAGCTGATAGTTCAACTTAAACCTAGCTAAATGAAAATTAAAAGAAAAGATTTGAAAAAAAAAAGCATTTTTCTTTAAGCCTTCTTATTTAAAGGTTGTTAGATATATATTTAGTCAAACAAATAAATTTTAAGCTAAACTTGTCAGAGCAGGTTCTTTGTTTGCCACTATAAAACAAGTGACAAATATAAAAGGACCTTTTGGCTAACTTCACCTTTTTTTTTTTTAACTAATTCGCAGTCTGGAGTTCTTGAATATAATGACAAACAATTTACCAGTTAATGATATACAATCAAGCCTTTTTTTTTTTTTTGGTAGAATTTTGCATTGTTTTGTCCTTTTTTTTCTGCTTATTATGTTGCCTAGTTGTTACTCCTCGACATAGTACCAGTTGAAAATAAAGAAAATTGTATATCATGTCATTTTGTTGTTGAATGAAATTTTGGAGGCAACTCTTCCTTTTAAGGACAAGAATAATTCTAATTCTATTTATCCCCTTGATTAGCATTTTTCTCTGTCAATATTTATATAGTGCAATTGTAAGAATTTGAGAAAATGATTTTGCTCAAAAATTGAGGACTACAAGCTTAGCCTATTTTTTCTGTCAGCAAACATAGTACATATCAAATATCTGTTTGTTTTATTTACATGTTTATCATTTAAATGAGAGGATTATATGGACTCACTTTGCAGGTAACAGTGAGAGGTTCACAGGGGCATGCTGGAACGGTTCCCATGTCTATGCGTCAGGATCCCATGGCTGCTGCTGCAGAATTAATTGTATTATTGGAAAGTCTCTGTAAAAATCCAAAAGATTTTCTATCCTACGATGGTCAGTGCAGTGCTATTGAGGTGGAATCTCTTGGAAAATCTCTTGTCTGTACCGTTGGAGAGATATCTACCTGGCCAAGCGCAAGTAACGTCATTCCAGGGCAGGCAAGTATTTAATCTCTTTAGGCTGCCCAATACAACCACCACGAATTGGCAATGTTCTATATGATAATAAAATTGTACACTTACTCATCAGGACTAAAAAAATAATCTTTCTGCATGTAGGTAACATTCACAGTAGATATACGTGCAGTGGATGACATGGGACGAGAGGCTATTATTTACGAGTTGTCTAACAGGGTGTACCAAATATGTGATCGACGTTCTGTTGCTTGTATCATTGAACGTAAGGTGTGACTTTGCTATCCTTCTTGCGTTACTTGTACTGCCAAGGTAACTCATGACTCACCCTGGCTGTCATCGTTTCAGCATGATGCCAATGCGGTGATTTGTGATACTGAATTGAGTTCACAGCTGAAATCTGCCGCTTACTCTGCTCTAAAGAGAATGACAGGTGAGGATGTAGATAATGTGCCTGTCCTGATGAGTGGAGCAGGACATGATGTGATGGCCATGTCTCATATAGCCAAGGTTTGTTCTTCTTGATTAGATAAAGATTGAGATGTGTAGTTCTCTTCGTACTGAAAGCCTGCCTGTATTTCAACAGGTTGGCATGCTCTTTGTGCGTTGCCGCGGAGGCGTGAGTCATTCTCCTGCAGAGTATGTTCTGGACGATGATGTCTGGGCTGCTGGTTTGGCAATCTTAGCAATTCTGGAGACCCTCTTGTAATTAGTACATCTATTGGCAATAGTTTAGTTCATCTCAATTTGCAATTGCCCTTCTATTCTGCAAATCCACTTGCTGATTGTAATGCGTCCCTTTGAAGGAATTGTTCTCTAGGCTAGTAGTCTAAATAATTTGTGTTGCTTCATTAGGTGGAAATGTATGTTCAAATTCTGAATGAGTTTTTCGGCTTACTAAAGTTTCCTCTGGACACCACTTGTCGTTTAATATCAAAATTACAACTCCTTCAATTCAAAGTATAGTTTTTTCTTGGACTAAATACAGTTGTGGTCCCTAAATTACTTGTTCTTTGTCTTTTTGGTCCCTAATGTTTCAATTTAATCAATTGGGTCCCTATTGTTTTTTATTCTGTTTAGGTGGTCTAGCTTCAAACAGCCGAATATACTGGTAAGAGGTCTGGTCATGTATCAACCACATGACTCATTCTCAAGAGCATATTGAGAAGAGAAAAAGGAAAGACTGATTTAGATTCATGCAATATAATGTTTGGTTTCTGGTTTCAGTTGCTAGTGGCATGCTCCGTGGAGTTGGAGTCATCACAAGACCGGATAATGTCGTCCATGAGTTGCAGTCTTCGTAACCCTTCAAGTGGGAGATAACAATTCTTGAAAAATGACAATCAATTTTAGAGGCCAGAAGAAGATTAGGAAAATATTGTTATGACTGGTTTTCGATACAGGGAACGCGAGGAAATGAATTTCATTGGTCCATGGTTAACTGCAACAATTTGAAAGTTTTGAATAGGAGTGTTCACATTATCCTACGGGTAAGAATTATAGTATTTTATCTTTCTACTTAATATTTTGTGGAAGATTTTTTTTTTTTTTGCCTACCCTACCCCATTAAGTGTATTATTTCTATCTGAATTTTGTCTAAAATAAGTAAGGTGAATACATATTTTTTAGTTATTAATTTTTGAATTATTTTAACAAGTTAATTAAATAACTTGCATCAATTAACTAACACAAAAAACCAATAACAATAAAGAAAGCACAATAAATTTGATAATACATATAAACAATAAAACACAATAAAAAAGTTATAAATATCAATACATTATATATAAGAAAGTCATAAATATCAATAAAACATTAGAATTTCTAAATTTTTAGATTTTAATTTTTAGGGATTAATATATATGTGTGTGTGTGTGTGAGAGAGAGAGTAAGGTAGAATAGAAATACGAAAATTTTGTAAGTATTTCACATTCTTACATGATTTTTTGTGAAATAGCAGAAATTCTTCTGTTGTCTTACCCGAATTTTTTGAATAACTAATTAATAGAGTAGGATAAAGTAGAATAAGATCGAAATTTATGAATAATCAAAAATTTAAACACTCTAATTTTGGGTATAAGAGGTAAACCATTGAGAGTGGTGCTACCAAATTCTAAGTGCAATTATCTCAATTGAACTCTTAGCTCAAACACACGGTGAAAACCGTAGGTATGAAACTCTCCTACCACAATAGGCCACCACAGCAGGCAATATTGTTAACTTATTTGTCTAGATAATAAATAATTGATGGTTATAATTTTCTCTACTACGGGCAATCTACAAAAGTCATAAAGATGGGTTCTTGAGAGAAACATCGAGAAATTTTATTTTTCTAAGATACTTGTCACAGTTAATTGAACTTTATTTAAAGAATAATAGATCAGAGGGGACAAATGCTCGAGTTTTAAAAACTGCCAAAAATCGTTACATCTAAAATTTTTAGACTCTCAGGAAATTTTTATGGAACAAATATTTAAATGTTTCCTTAGTAAGGTCAGAAAAGACAGAAAAAATGGGCGGTTTATTATTCATTGGAGTGGCATTCTCTGTGGAGTCACCGCATGGACGAACGAATATATTCCCTAGTTAATCCCTGTAGAGGACAAATGTAGCCACGAGTAAATTACACCAATGATCGTTGAGGTTTAGTTAATCATACTTTAGTCCTCAAAGTTTTATTTTCATCAATTTGATCCTCAAAGTTACACATTCGACTAATGTGGTCCTTGACACTAATTACCATCTAAAAATGAGACAAAAAATGTCACATGTCTGACACATGATAGTAATGATGAACATTTTTGTCATTGTGCTTTCAAAACATAGGGCAAAAATGAAAAACAAAATAAGCCTTAAAAAAACAAAAAAGAAAAAAAAAAACAAAAAAACAAAAAGAAAGGCAACATTAAGGCAAAACTCCATTCGTCAACCTTTACTCCCCTAAACCCTACTGGCTGCCAACAACCCCCAATATCGGTGCCTACATCCACTTCACTAACCTTTCCCCAATACACTTCAACACTGTCGTGGGTAGACTTGGATCATCTTTAACGCACCCCTCAGGTTGTTAAAAAAAGGGTTTTTTTCTGTTGTATTTTTCTCCAGAACCGAGTACGAAGATATATAGACATAGAGAGGAAGTTTAGGGAGTTATTCTAAGCTACACATTGTCTATGGCTAGAATCGTGGTTGACCCTTGAAGAAGGAGATTTTACAATTAAATGGTTCCTATAATTTCTCTATTTTGTTCCTAGTTAACAGCTCACGCCAACACTCCTCCTCAAGTTGTTGCATAAATGTCTCTATTGTGCAACTTGTCGAGTGAGTTGTAGAAGTTTTTGTTGGACACTGCCTTTGTGAGTATATCTGTCAACCGGTCTTCTGACTTGACAAAAAGGAACCGAATAATTTTTCCTTTAAGGTTTTGTTTGATGAAATGCCGATCCACCTCAACGTGCTTAGTACAATCATGTTAGACGAGATTATGAGAGATGTCAATGGCTGCCTTGTTATCACAAAACAAGTTCATTTCAGAGCTAGGAGCAAAGCCAATCTCAATTAGCAGCCTTCTAAGCCAAAGAAGTTTGCAAACACCCTTGGCCATTCCTTGGAATGCAGCTTTAGTGCTAGATAATGCTATTACTTTTTGCTTTTTGCTTCTCCATGTGACTAGATTTCCTCTTACAAAAGTGAAGTAGCCTAAAGTGGATTTCCTATCTAAAATATTTCCTGCCCAGTTACCGTCCACGTAGCCATCAACGTTCAGATGATTATTCTTGGAGAACATAAGCCCTTTTGCAGGAGAGGACTTTAAATAACGAAGAATCCGAATTACTGCATCCATATGATCTTCACTAGGACAAGGCAAAAATTGACTCACTACACTAACAGTGTAAGTAATATCTGGGTGAGTATGAGATAAATAAATGAGTTTACCAACAAACCTTTAGTACCTCTCTTAATCAGCTGGCACCTGATCTGAATATTCTCCAAGTTTATGATTCTGAACAATTGGAATATCAACTGGCTTACACTCTAGTAATCCTACTTTTGACAGCAAGTCTAGCACATATTTTCTTTGAAAAAGAAATATGCCTTGTCTCGATCTAGCTACTTTAATTCCTAGAAAATACTTAAGTCCTCCCAGGTTCTTCATTCAAATTTGGTTGACAATTGCTCTTGAAGTCTAGAGATCTTTTCTGTGCCATCTCCTATAATAATTATGTCATCTACATTGACTATTAGAGTTGTCACTTTTTCCAATCGGTGTTTTAGGAAGAGGGTATGATCCGAGTTACTTTGTTGAAAGCCATATTTCCTCGTAGTCGAACTAAATTGACCAAACCATGCCCGAGGTGATTGTTTCAATCCGTACAAAGATCGTTGCAGCTTACATGCAATATTCGCCTCTGAAGATGCAGTGTACCATGGTGGAATATCCATGTAAACCTCCTCTTCGAGATTGCATGGAGGAAGGTGTTCTTTACATCAAACTGGAGCAATGGCCAGTCTAAATTTGCTACAAGAGACAACAAAACTCTAAAAGTATTTAATTTGGCCATTCTTGAGAAAGTTTCCCGGTAATCTATGTTGTATGTTGTGTATATCCCTTTGACATGAACGTCAGCTTGTATCGATTGATGGATCCATCAGCCTTGTATTTAATGGAAAAACCCATTTGCATCCCACTGTCTTCTTTCCTTTAGGTAGTGGAAATAACGTTCAAGTTTTATTTTTCTGTAGAGCCTCAAATTCTTCCTTTATAGCTTGGGCCCAGTTTGGGTCTAATAAAGCTTCTTCAACGCTACTAGGAATATGGCACGGGGATAACTTAAGCACAAATTCCTTGAGAGGTTCAAATAATCTTTGAGTAGACACATAATTGGCAATTGGATACTTGTATCTCTTTTCTTCCACGTCCGAAAAGTATCAATTTGGTGGCTTGCTAGGATTGTGTCTGAAAGATAAAACAAAACCCCTAGAAGTATCCAAGGCATCAGTGTGTGAAGGTGTGGTAGGAGAGCTTATCTCAGGAATATTCTTAGGAGAAGGATCTTTGGGTACTGAGGAGTGAGGGGATTCATTTCTAGAGGATTCTTTAGATTCTGCATTTCCAGATTTCGATGCTCTTGAAGACATATCAACTCCTGAAGACATCTCAACATTCAGCTCTATCATTTTGTTTCCATCATTTTGTTGTGCTAAGTTATCTTCAAATCCTGGCCATTCAGCACCCAACCAATTTGGCTCTTCATCTCGGAGCCCCCCTGAAGAGATGAATTGGATGCTGATGATGCAAAGAAAGTGTCTGACTTTAGAAAAGTAACATCCATAGTGATGTAGTTACGTTTGGTGATGGGGTTGTAGCACTGATACCCTTTTTTATGTAAGGCATACCCCAAAAAAAGACAACACATTGCACACGAATCCAACTTAGTGCGTTGATGTTATGAAGATGAACGAAGGCAACACAACCAAAAATCTAGGAAGGAATCATCAAAACAGTGGGCAAAGGGACATGCTTAGAAAGAACCTTTAATGGAATCTCAAAGTTTAAGACTTTCGAAGGCATACGGTTTAGTAAATGTATGGTTGCGGCTACTACATCATCCCAGTGGTGACTAGGCACATGTGCCCTAAGCAATAAAGTTCATGCAGTTTCTAATATATGTCGGTTCTTACTTTCGGTATTGCCGTTTTGTTGTGGGG